GACTCCAAAGACTGCCACACTCTGGATACAGTGAGGTTTGTCTGTCTCCTGTAGTCCATGGATGGACATACCCTGTCAACTTCCCCCCTCCTCGATATTCTGTGGGACGAACGGGTCACCGGAACATGGTGGGTTAAGTGACCGACGGATGAATGACGAGGTGGAAGAGTGTGTTTATGGAGTGGGGGGGGGGGGGACGTACCCATAGAGTAGAAAGAACAGCCTGAGGTAGGTGGGCCTGGTGGACGCTACTTAAAGGGGATTGGGTATGATGCTGATGTAGGAAGTTTATTTAGATTTGATACTTTTTTTTTTTTAAGTCCTCATTAATCTGAACATGTATTTATATATTTATTTGTGTGTGTAATATCAAGGCCTTTTTTTACTTTTTATTTATCTAGTTTTATTCATTTATTTTCTCACTTATGTACCTATTTTTAAAAATCGAGAATGAAAGACGTTTTTTTTTCCTTCTTTCCTCCTCCTCCCCTCTCCACCAACCACACCCCCTTTTTTTTGTCTTTCTTTACTTTCAAAGATGTTCGTTCAGGCCCTTAGAAAGTAGTCACAAAAGACGCCCACAGGAAACTGAACAATCAACAACTCCAACCGTTTGGCTTTCGGCCAACCCCAGAATTCCTAGGAGACTGATAAAGAGATGGTTAGAAGAAAACAGGCAGTGTATTATAGCACAGATGAGAGAAACAAGAAAAAAAGGGAAAGGTAAGGGGAAGAAAGGGAAGGGGAAAAAATAACACATTATGTAGGGCACGATACAGGCTGGTTAAACAAACATGATCCAGGCACGGACCAAGTCCCAGCTGACCACGAAGCCACGTTCTTCAGCGTCCAAAACAGATCGATATCATAGCCTGGAGGTCACCCTTCCACGGCGGAAGTTGCGTCACGTCCGGCACTACATCATTCTCAACACCCGGGTAAGTGGCGGGGAATAACTCAGTGTTAACAATCATTCGTTAAACATTTTATTTATTTCCAGGTGCTAAGCCAACAGGTTCTTACGACAAAAAGGACAAAAGGGAGTTGAGGGGTTACAGAGAGAAGAAAAGAGAGGCTGAATTGTCCAATGGACAGGCACTTGTTCTCGCCTTAGTTACTTGTTGAGGAGTTCGTTTGTGGGACATCGGAAAGATTTGAGAGTGTGCGTGTCAGTGCGTGGGAGAGGGTTACAAGAACTTGAGATTATAAGAAGAAAAGAAAAAGGGGAAGGAGGGGCAGGGGAGATGTGAAGTGTGAGAGAAAGAATGAGAGAGAGAGAGAGAGAGAGAGAGAGAGAGAGAGAGAGAGAGCGTGAGAGAGAGAGCGAGCGTGAGAGAGAGGGAGAGAGAGAGCGTGAGAGAGAGAAAAAGATAGGGAGAGAACGTGAGAGAGAGAGAGAGAGAGAGAGAGAGAGAGCGAGAAAGAGAGAGAAAGAGACAGAGAGAGAGAAAGAGACACAGAGAGAGAACGTGAGAGAGAGAGTGAGAGAGAGAAAGATAAAGAGAGAAAGACATACGCACAGAGAGATAGCGAGAGAGAGAGAGAGAGCGAGCGAGAGAAAGAGCGAGAGAGAGAGGGCGAGAGAGAGAGAGAGAGAGAGAAAGATAGATGCACAAACAGACAGACAAATAGATAAACAAACAGAGAAGATTAATTATAACAGTTTTAAGCCGACCCCCCCCCCAAAAAAAAAAATAATTTAATCAAACAAACAAGAAAACAAACCAAAACACTGGCACAATTTAGGACTTTCATAGGGCGGCCTGCTTCGACTGTGCCTGTCAGGGGTGACCTGGATTGAGCATGAAAACGTCTCATCTGGTTGAAAACCCTGACCAGAAGCTCAAAAACAAGATTTACCGTGGGCTAAATAGATCTACAGTGTCTGAGTTTTTCTAACACCAACGCCTCCACAATCACACCTATCATCAAAGTCACCGTCATTGTACCGCCACCTTCATTATCAAGTAGGCATCTGCATCCTAGGAAGCGGTCAGAAAAAAGGAGGTCTAAATTACCTAAAGGATGTTTCGAAAAAAAAAGAAGAAAAAAAACCCTACCCGGTACTGAATTTAAGTCCGATACACTACTAAGTTTGGTTAAGTTGTAACGACAGGTCGGACTTAAAACCATCCAGTCATTTTATTTGAATGCTATGTGGTGTTGTCTCCAGTGACATGTTTCTTCAAACAAAAGCAAACAACTATTTTTAGAAAAATTGTAACTTACACCCTTTATTTTTCTGACGTCTTTCATTATTTTCCTTTATCGGTTTCCATTAGCACGTACTGGCGACTGTAATAGGGTAATTGTGAGGCTCTTCGTCTTATACGGGGTGCCCACTACGGACGGGATCGGCCGATCGGGCCGATCGCCCGACTGGATCGCCTCAAAAACAAACGTGTTTGTTTTCAGTTTCAGGCGATCGAGTCGGGCGATCGGCCCGATCCAGCCGTAGTGGGCACCCCGTATTAGCAAATTGGAAAGGTAAGTCAGATTCCCCTGCGGGAAAGGACTTTTCTTTATCGAGTCTCTACGTTTTTCGGCCGGAATGTTGTATCTCACTTCACCAGGGCTGGTCCTGGCAGGCAGAGCTAAAGCAGCCTGCCTCCTTGATTTGTCTAAATTATATCGATTTGGGGGTTAAACATTTGTAATTTACCACTAACTATAAACTACTTTCAAGCAGCATACACACCACAATATTTATATCAATGCTCTCATAATAACCGGAATTCAGGCGTTTAGATACTTCTAAGAAGAAATAGAGTGCAATTATTTATAGCAATAACAGATTGTAAAGAGACTATTTTCTTTTTAAATTTTTTTACACAAAATTTCTGCAGCATCAGCACGTACTTGGGTCCTATGAAATTGATCTAAATGGACAAAATATGTTTTGGTTCTGACCAGCGAGTCTAGATGCATGTTCTCTCTCTCTCTCTCTCTCTCTCTCTCTCTCTCTCTCTCTCTCTCTCTCT